GTTTGAAAATGGAAACCTAAAACAGGTTTAGAACTAGGATAATTGTCTTTCTAGTGTGTACTTTTTTTCTTTGCTAATCTCTCCTCCGTTTGTCTTTTCTCACTCTGATTCATCCGCTCCCTCTAATATGTTAATTTATCTCATGGTGTTGTGTCCCTCCGCAGGTGCTGCGTAATTTTGACTACGTTTTCACAGCAGTCTTCACATTTGAAATGTTGATCAAGGTAACAAAGTATCACAGTGCGACTGTGTGCGACTCTCTATTTTGAGCCCTTTTTGTGCAGTTGTATGAGGCGTCCTCTGTTTGTGTGTGTGTTTCTGTATCTGTTAAGGCCAGCGTGCTTTAGAGGGTAAAGTCAGTGTCCCTGTGTATGTGTGTATATGAGTATACATCATGCTGAGCACACTCCTTGTCTTCCAGATGGTGGTGCTGGGCTTGTTTCTCCACGAGGGATCCTACTTCCGTGACTTGTGGAACATTCTGGACTTTATAGTGGTTAGTGGTGCTCTGGTGGCCTTCGCCTTCACGTAAGTTCCCCTCCCCATCCTCCTCTTCATCTACTCCACTATCCTTCCACACCCACACACACATTTAACCATTGACAGAAAGACCTTTGTCAGTCAGCCGTGTACGTCCAATACACTAGGCGAGGCCCGGCTTTCACCCTCCTGTTGTCTCAGTCTGCTCTGCTTCAGAGCTCATCATCCCCTCTCGTCCAGTATCCCCTTCGCTCTGTTCCCGTTTCTGCTTCTGTCCATCTTTTTTCCCAGTCTTTCCTGTTTTCTGTAGGTCGCCTCCTTTCCATTTTCATCTCTATTTCTGTATCGGTCGCCATCACATGTGTCATCATATCAGCAGGTCTTTCTCGATGTTCATTCGCCACCTTCATCTCGACAACTGACAGCGATCCATAATTAAAATGTATCCCTGATATTTCACACGTAAAAGATCATCACCATCTTTTATTTAAAGAGGCTTTTTGTTATACTGTCATCTTCATTTCAACCACTGTAACAGTTTCCCAAATCATTTCCCACACAACTGTCTATAAGCTATAAAGTGCAACCTGCTCCTTATCAACATTTTCTCCTCCCAAATCTTCCTTGCTCCCGATCCCTTTTTTCCCTCTTTGCCAATCCATGCCACTCTGGTTTCCTTCTAACCAGGCCGTGAGTCATCTCTTTCGTCCTTCCTTCCCTTTTCTTGCATCCCAGTCCCTGACTTAGATCCCCCAAGCCCTGCTTACCAACACTCCCCCCAGGTCCTCTTCAGCCCATGTCCCTGCTGATGTCGTCTCGTCAAACACCTTTCAACTCCCTCTCTCATATCAGCACCTCCTCCTCTCTATATTCACCTACCCGTTTTCTCAGTGTCATCGCCTACACCTCTGTTGTTTCTAACATATGGCAGAGAGAGTAACCTAGCAAGCGAGTGCTGCACTGCTCTCTGTGATCTTAGTTGGCCTCTCCGTACTGAACCACAGCCCCTGGGTGTATGCCATGAGAACTCCCACAGGAAAAGTTGGGAGATCATCAAAATTAGTAAGATTCATCCTCTGTCGGCCATGAGTATCAGTTTTTGAGATATCTAAGGGTGGACTACAGAGGAACATTATTAGGAACTAAGTAATAATACTAGAATGTGCTATATATTTAAAATACATTTGGCACAAAGATACAGTGGAAGAAATGTAAGAAAATCTGATGGTACTCAATTTAGAGATGAACACCATCAGATTAAATGCAGATTTATTCAACGTTGTTGAAATAGTACAAAGTTGCTCGCCGTATGGTTCACAGCCGGCTGTAGAGTACTCTTGCTTTGAATTTTCATGCTGTATGTTAAGAAGAGGTGTTGCCCATTGCTCCCTAACTTGCCGTTAATCCCACAAACCAAACCTCCAACAACTCCTATTATCCGCTCCTGATTATTCAGATTCCACCAAATGCACCATTCAAGCTTCCACTCTCCAAAACCCATTGTATCCAACATCCTCCACCTCGTCATTCTTCCCCATGCCCCTGTCCGGAGGTCAAAATTGGTCATTCCGTGGGGGTGAGGGCGCCCCAGACACCTTTAACCCTTTAATTGCCCAGGCTCTACATCCGCCACTTGGAAGAACACTTGTCCCAGGAAGGACTCATCTCCTCAGCGTCCCTCCTTACTTCTCTTTTGCCAGCACACACTCAAATGTACACACATACTCCTCCACCATTCTGACCATGTTAATGAAACTGGAGGCACAGGTATTTAACTCTCCTTTTTCTGCACGACCCAGGAAAGTACATGGGAGGGTAATAAGCAAGGCATGCTGGGGCAGGGTGTAGTGGATGGAATGATTTATTAGACGTTATTGCGATGGATACAGCTGAAGGGATCATTTGTGTGTTTGTGTTTGGTAGAAAATAAAAACATGCATTCTCCTCAGCTCTCTGGATGCCCATTGCATGTCTTACTTAGTGTCTACATGAACACTTGCTGTGATGGACAGTAGACAGCATCACTAAGAGCTATGTTCATGATGTTTTAAGCAACGAATTATCTCCTAAATATGGCATCTGTATCTGAGCAAATAGCTACTGTAAGGGAGTGTTCAGATTAAATATGAAGCGTGTTTTAGAGACAGCACCACTGCATGAAAACTTCAGGGGTAAGAAATCGGAATGTGACATGAAGTGAAGCTTCTTGTTTTGGTTATTTTTTTTATTTCAGAAAATCACAACAGCGATCCAACCATTTTTGTTATGAAGAACATTTTTTAAAACAGGTTATATGAAGAAAAAAATAACTTAAGGAGAAAAGAAAATTTACTCATTTCTTTACTGCAGAGGTATCGAAAATAGTATCAAGAATTAAACTGGGATTGGTGTTAAATCAGCATCCTGACAACCATAAAATGATGGCATGAGCTATACTTGATGAGAGAACTAAAGCTTTTTTGTTTTATCGAATTATTATTTTGTGGATTTAAGTTATCGATACAGATTACACAGATTACACAGATCGAGCGCATTGTTACATTAAATCTCATGCTAGCTCTTACCATATCCGTCGATTCTTTGATTAATTCTTGACACTTAATCAAATTTGATCTTAATGCCAAAACTTGTGACACTTTGTACTGAGTCCAAAGACACAGAGTATACCAAATATTATATTCATGATATAAGGCCAGAAAGTGGAATTGTCACCCAATGTGAACAATTACTTGCTTCTTTTCTAAATCATCACAAAATCAGCTCAGCTCAACTATGTACAATCATTCATACATATCAATCAGCCACAAAATGTAACGAGCTAATAGGTGAAGTGAATAAGGTGGGAAAGAACTGCCCAGAAGTGTGTCTGTAAGAAGCCAACAGCATTGATCTGGCTTCCAAATTCCCAACAAACCAACAAAAGATCCATAGCTAACAAACATCCCAGGCTCCCTGAAGTCCCGTATCCTTCCCTTACTTTAGGAGGACAAAGAAAGGGCAACATAGTATTAGTTATGGTGTAACTGAGGGGTGAATGAACACATATGCACAGGTCAGTATTTGAGTAGATGTTAGCTGACCAGGGAAGCTCCAGATGCAGGCAAATACAGCATAGAGAAAATAGGGTATCAAATGTAAGGCGATACTGTACAAACTGAACTTGTCACACTGTTGGTGAAGCACTGCAGCTATGGTATATTACAGATATTGTTCAAAACAAAAGGTGTAC